GGTTGTTAAGAAAGATGACAGCTTAGGTGTGATATGGATATAAACTGCTTTGTAGTCTCGAAGGCTTTCATGGCTGGGATCTGATGGTTGTTGTGGGTTTTTCGGGCTCTTTGGCCGTGTTCTGAAGGTTGTTCTTCTTAATGTTTCGTCAGTCTTGGTGACCGGCATCTTCAGAGGACTGGAGTAGGAACTCTGTCCATGCTCTGTTGCTGCTTGTTGGATAGTTGAGTTCCCACAGCTATAAATACTCAATTATCCAACAAACAGCAACAGAGCATGGACAGAGTTCCTCCTCCTGTCCTCTGAAGATGCCAGCCACAGAGATGGGCGAAATGTCAGGAAGAACAAACTTTAGAACACGGCCAAAGAGCCCGAAAAACCCACAACAACAATAAACTGCTTTATTGGCCCATCTTTTTCAGTATTGTTTACATTGGTAGTCTGATGTTTTCTGGGTGTTTATCTAGGGATGTGATCATTCCTTGCAATTTTCTGGGTTTTACCACCCCGAGATTTCTCCCTCACCAACAAGAGTTCCCAGCTTCTGCAAATATGAGATTCTAGTCTTTTTCCTCCTCCCCTTTTTCATTTTTATTTTTGCTCATCCTCCTGGGCAGAGCACTGGCAACGTTTGTACAGGTGAATGCCTTTTCCAAGAGAATCCTCCACAGGAAAGACTCCTGTGCAGGAATGGTACCAATCCTGGACAGCGTTTTTTCTTTTGCCCATCCCAGAAAAAAAATGACCACAACATTTCTCAGGACCCCCATGTCATTGCCCATAAGAAAACATGCAAAACAAAGAGGGCCATAGAGGGAATTCTAGCACAAGCAGAAAATAAACATATTCTTGACTTCTCACTATGATTCCCATCCCTTGTTCTGCTTGGTAAGACTTTCCAAGCACTAGATGCTAAGATATTGTATTGTACACCATAGTTCAGTGGTTTAGGCATCTGGTTGGATCTTCAGTTCCCCACTGGGCTTTTTTGACAGGGTTGGACTCCATGATCTATAGGGTCCCTTCCAGCTCTACATTTCTAAGATAATGATAATAATTTTCTATATACAAAGTGCGTGCTGAGCTGCACGCTTCCCCACTCATAAGAGATAGTCCTATCCTGTCTAAGATGATGATAATGATTTTCTATATACAAAGTGCGTTCCCCACTCATAAGAGATAGTCCTATCCTCATCATCACCATCATTACTGTCACTAACCATTCAAAAAAATCCCCTTTAGAGGGTCAAAATATTCTTCAGTCATTTCAGCACTGATTGCAGATATATCAAGACATCAAAGACGGTTTCCCAGATCTGGAGATATCTTACAGTGCTTAATTCCTGGCATTGTCTTGGGTTTGTAAATCCTCACTTGAATCATTGATGAAGAGAATCTGCCATTTCCCCCCTCCCTGCCCTGTTAAAGAGTAAAATAAATTCTTGATGGGAATTCTCACATTAGAATCTATCTTGAGCCAGTGTCCATATAAATATCACTGCCTCCTGTTCTGAACCCAGTGGTGGATCTCCCTTTAGTTGACATATTTTGATGGTCACACCTCATCCGTGTTCTGTGGGAACCTTATCGGGCAAAGTAGAACTTAGAATGTCATGGGATAATCCAGGGACAAAAGTGCAACAATCAATAAAACATTCTTCGCTAACAGAGAAAGACAAAATTAATTACCAGGTGAGTTCATATTCTCTCTCTCTCTCTCTCTCTCTTTTACTAAATGATGTTCAAAATGCCTGAGCAAATTGAGCAGGTCCTCAATTGGCAATTAAAAGATGATAGAGAACAGATGAATCTCTCTGGAGAAGAGGTTCCATAGCTGAGAGCCAACACGAGGAAGGCTCTCTTCTCTTTTGGCACCCACCTCCTTGGCTTTAGCAGTGTCACCTTGGAGAGGGTCTTTTAAGATGATATTAATACCTGGAAGGCTGGCTGGATAGCTCAGTTGTTTAGGCTTTGGAGCCAGAGGTCGGGAGTCTTAATTCCCCACTGTGCCTCCTAGTGCAGAGGTCCCCAACCTTTGGCCTCCAGATGTTCTTGGACTTCAACTCCCAGAAATCCTGGCCAGCAGAGGTGGTAGCGAAGGCTTCTGGGAGTTGTAGTCATGTGGAGGCCCGAGGTTGGGGACCACTGTCCTAGTGGGAAAGCCAGCCTGTGTGGCCTTGGGCAAGCTGCACAGTTGCAGAGCACCCCTAGAGGAAGGGAAGGGTAAAGCACGTCTGAATAGTTTCAAGCTAGAAAACCCTGAGAAGGGTCCCCAAAAGTCAGAATGGCAACACATCATGATGATGATGATGATGATGATGATGATGATGATGATGATGATGATGATGATGATGATGATGATGATGATGATGAAGAAGAAGAAGAAGAAGAATATCAGTGGTCCTTTGTTGCCATTGTAGTTTGTGGGACCGCAGTACGAATTGTCGCGAGCGAAAGGCAAAACCACAGCCAAAGTTAAATATTCCCTTTCTCTTTGAGTTTGCTTCTCTCTCTCTATTTTTTCTCTCTCTCTCAATCTCTCTCTCAATCTGTCTCTCTCTTTCAAACCGCTTTCAGCCAGTGATATCCCTTCTCTGTGCTCCTATGGCAGAAGGTGGCATCCAGGAAGCAGAAGAACCTCCTCCTTCTAATATTCCGAATTTTCTCCTTGCCTGGATTAAGTGCCTCTCTGCATGTCTTCCCACGGGGCCTCTCCCCTCCCTGCCCTGGCATCTTGGAAGAAGAGCTCACTTTCCACTAGTTGACTCCGCTTTCACCCACTGATATCCCTTCTCTGTGCTCCTATGGCAGAAGGTGGCATCCAGGAAGCAGAAGAACCTCCTCCTTCTAATATTCCGAATTTTCTCCTTGCCTGGATTAAGTGCCTCTCTGCATGTCTTCCCACGGGGCCTCTCCCCTCCCTGCCCTGGCATCTTGGAAGAAGAGCTCACTTTCCACTAGTTGACTCTCCTACCTTGGGAAAAATCTGTTCCTTTGCTCGGGGAGATATTCATTGCCACTTTAAATCACATTACGGTGGGCAGAACTAAAGGAAATATGCACACACGTACACTCAGGAGCATAAGTACAAAAAATAAACGGATGATTTTAAGGAAGCCTACCCCAGCTAGCTAGAAAAGGAGCCATCCCAGAGCCAACAGTCTGATGATGGTGTCCTCTTTTTTTGGAAAATAAAAACAGGATGCTTTTGTAACCCATTCCGCAGCTGTCGGCTGAGGCTTTGGGGAGCATTTTGAGAAAAAAATCCACCTTGCATAGATAATCTCTGCCTCTATTCCAAGAGGAAGAAAGGAGAATGGGAGGCGAGGGGGAGGGCATAGAAGTGATTCCTGGAAAATGAGATTTACTGCTGCTGCTGCTCCTAAGGCCAGCGGTCTCTCCGGCCTGCCTTCCCCTTGGGCTGGTTGAAAAGGGGGTTAACTTCTTGAGGATGATGAGGAAGGCGGTGGGAGGTTTCTAGTTCCCTTCTCCGCCTCTCTCTTCCTCCCTCCCTCCCTCTTGCTCTCTCTCTCTCCCCCCTCCATCACCTCCTTTCCCATTTCTGTTCCCCCCCCCACCCTCTCTGGTGTGGTGCGATGCGATGCGGGCACGACGGGAGCTTAGCGCTGGCAAGGAAGATGCTCCCTTGGGACGGAGACCAGGGACTCATCACCTAGGTGGGAAGCGACGGTCACACCCCTCCTCCGGCTTGCTTTCCTTTTTGTCTTCCTCGCCTCCCCTGCCCCGGCCAGAGCAGGGCGCTGAGCATCACCGATCCCGGCCATGGGGGGTCTCGGGGACAGCAGGCGCCCCCTCGCCAGCATCCTCTCCGCGGGCCCTCCGTCTCTCGCCGTGACGCGCCAGGCTTCCCCACCGCTGGCCAAGGCGGCTGGCTTTGAAGCAGCTGCTGCCGGGGGCTTTTGAGGGGGCTTTTCTCCCCCTCCCCTTTTCCTCCTTCCTCTTTTTTTCGGGGGGGGAGGGGAGGGGGCTTCCCTCGCCCCTTCCTCCTGCAACGGGTTGCATCCGAGATCTGGCAAAAAGGTACGGTGATTCCCTCTA